AAATTTTTTTTTTTTTTTTTTTTTTTTTTTTTTTTTTTTTTTAGGCAAGATCTTGCTATGTTGCCTGGACTCATGATCTACCTTAGATTCTTTGTAACAGAGCTTATAGGTGTGAACTACCATGCCTGGCTCAGGAGGGTTTTGTTGTTTTGGTTATTTGTTTGATCTCAAGGAAGATTTTTTTTTTGTTGTTATTGTTTAATGATTGGTTGGTTGTGGTAGGGTCTCACTACACTGCCCTGACAGGCCTGGACCTCACTGTATAAACCAGGCTAGCCTCCGGCTAACAGAGATCCTCCTGCCTCTGCTTCTGGATTACTGGGATGAAAGAAATATGCTGCCACACATGTCCTCAGGACTTTTTTTTTTAACAACAGAGCCATCCCTCCCCCATTTTCCTTTGCTTAGGGCACTGCTGAGCCTGGGCAAAGAACTCCTGCTCTTGTGAAATGATTTGTTTATGGATGAATTTCTCTTATAGTATCTCATTAGCTACTTGGGGGGGGGGTCAGAGGAGAAAGCCATGAATGGCTCTCCATCTTGTTTTTTGAGACAGAATCTCACACTGAACCCGAAGCTCACAATTTCAGTGAGACTGGGTGGCAGCAAGTCCCTGAGATCTGCCTGGCTCTGTACCCCAATTCTGGGGCTATAGATAGGCAGGCATGGGACCCTATTTTAAGTAGGTGCTGGGGAGTTGAACTCGGGTCCTCTGGCAAGTACTCTTGCCCACTGAGCTGTCTCCCCTGACCGTCACTCAACACTTTCCCTCCTTTGCAGGTGAGAGTAGCCAGGAAAGTTCTGGGCCTTGGCCCAGGTCCACCCAGCAAGGGGCCTGGCAATCTAGTTTTCCTCCCATGTAAAAGGAACTGTTGGTCTACTGTTAGCTGCCCAATTCTGGCCTTCAGGATTTTAGCTAGTCATTAGGGATTGGTCCCAGTTACATCTGAAAGGCTCCGGATAGTTCCTAACACTGCAGGGCCTCATGTCCTGCCCTGAGCAACCTGTGACCACCAGCAGGACCACATGTCAGAGCAAGTAAAGGGAGTGCTGAGGTCACCCAGCTCTGACCTTAGCACTGAGGGAGGAGAGGAGGGAAGAATGAACCTCAGACTTTAGACTCTAATGTCCTGCTCACATCTGTCTAACCTGAAAACAGTTTTCTTCATAGGCTTGTATTGAGTGAGGAGTGGGTATTACAAAAAGAACACATTGAAGCCCCAGTCCGTGGGCTGAGCATGGTGGCACACCTATCATCTTAGCACTTGGAGGTAGAGAAAGGAAGATCAGGCATCAAGACCAGCCACAGCTACATAATGATTATTTTTAAAGGTTTATTTATTATGTATACAGTGTTCTGCCTGCATGTGTGCCTGCAGGCCAGAAGAGGGCACCAGATCTCATTAGAGATGTTTGTGAGGCACCATGTAGTTGCTGGGAATTGAACTCAGGATCTTTGGAAGAGCAGCCAGCGCTCTTCACCTCTGAGCCATCTCTCCAGATCCTCCATAATGATTTTAATACCAGCCTGGGCAAGAGGTAGGTAGGTTTCCTTGAGCTTGATGCCAGCCTGGTCCACATAGGAGTTCTAGGATAGACTATAGCAAGACCTGCCTCCAAAGAGAAAGGGAAAAAAAAATGTCTTCTGGGTGTGGGGCCAGCTTGACGATCTTGACGACAGCTTGACGACCTCTCACCAGAACTGTGAATTTCTCAGTCAAGGAGACATAACTTCAACTATTCAGAAATCTGTGCTTAGTGGAATCTGTTTTGCCCACGATGTCAGGGAAATGGGCTATAACAGGTACTTCTTGTACCTGTGATGAATCGTGGCATGAAATTTACCATCAGAACCATTGTTACCTATGTTCATCATACTACCACCAACCCTGTTAAACACTTAAATTCTGGTCCCCCTCCTCAGCCCCTGGTTGGTGCCCACTTTGCTACTTAATGTCTCCTCAGACCGCACCTTGCCTTTATGATGCTCTCATGCATATTTATACTGTTTTCTTTTTTGGTTTTTCGAGACAGGGTTACTCTGTGTAGCCCTGGCTGTCCTGGAACTCGATCTGTAGACCAGGGTGGCCTCAAACTCACAGAGATCTGCCTGCCTCTGTCTCCTACCTCCAAAGGTGTGTGACCTTTGTAGCCCTTTGCTCTTTCTTAGTGTTTTTTGTCCCTCACATGTGAAGGTAGGATTCAGTGTTTGTGTGATGATGCCGAGTTTTAGGGCTTGCTAGGTTTAGTCACTCTGCTGGTATGACTCACCGCGCATGGCTGCCTGCACGGCTGAATGGAGGGACTTGGGATCCTCAGACAGGCTGATATTCCGAGCCCTTTAGTGGGTGAGAGTGAAACTAGTCTCTCAAATCTAGCTCTGGCCAATTGCAGAGACCAGCCTTCCACAGGTTCCTTCTGTTTTATGGGAGCTTCTCAGTATCTTTTGGGGTGATAAGTCTTGGAAGCCTCATGACCAGACGCTTTTGTTGAGAGGTTCGTACTGCCTGCTCTCAGACTTGGTCTGCGGCCCTTGGGGAATATGAACGTTTTTCCTGTCCTGTCAACTTTGAGTGAGAACCAGCCTGGAGGAGGCAGAGGGGCCCAGAGGCTCTGCCTCCCCCTGAGGTGCGCTGGCACAGCAGTCTGAAAGGCCTCTATGGAGGTGGAGGTCAGGGAGCCTGGCCCTAAGTGGGTGGGCTATCCTGAGTTTAGAGAGCAAAGACTCAGAAGTAGAATGCAAATGAGGCTAGGATCCTCACGATCCAAGGGAAGGTTGAAGGCAATTCATTCCTGAGCCAAAGCAACATGGCAACTGAAGGGTGGTGTGTCTGGGGGGCAAGGCCTCCAGTTTTTCTGCCATGAAGGTACCCAAGGAGTCTTTGCATTAGGTCCCAGGTGTCCCCAGGTCCCTGGCCACCCATGGGAAGACCAAGCATTGGCGACTCTGGGACTGGAATGGGCCTTCCGTCTAGGAATTTCCCTTCCTGACCTGGCCACTGCTGTGTTGGGGATAGCCTCTGGTGCCATCAGCTAGAGAAGGCTGTTAGGGATTCAGTGATCTTCCATCCAGGGCCACACTTGTCCTGTTGGACAACAGAGATGACCCCACCTTTGAGAAGCTGATGTGAGCCCCTAGACCAGGGAGCCATGGGTTAGAAATTAGGGACCAGGAGACAGTGGACCCAGAGAACTTGTGTTGGGGTGATAATTCCCCAGTAAAGATCCTAAAACTTGGTCTGGAGAGATGCTTATCGATTAAGACAGCATGCTGCTCTTGCAGAGGCTCCAGGATCTGAGTCTTTTGACCTCTGCAGGCATGTGGTACACATACATATACGTAAATTCAGAAACAAGTAAGAGCCAGGCATGGTGGTGCACACCTTTAATCCCAGCACTAGGGAGCCAGAGGAGGTGAATCTGTGAGTTTGCAGCCAGCCTGGTCTACGAAGTGAGTTCCAGAACAGTCAGGGCTACACAGAGAAACCCTGCCAAGAAAAAAAAGAGAGGGTGAGAGAGGCTAGAGATAGCTTGGTAATGCTCTTTCAGAGGACAGGAGTTCGATTCCCAGCACCGTTGTGGGTCATAACTACCTCTAACTAGAGCTGCAGGGGATCTGATGACACACGTACACATAACTAAAACTAAGTCTGCTGGGCATAGTGGCGCACACCTTTAATCCTAACACTAGGGAGGCAGAGGCAGGTCGATCTCCTGAGTTCAAGGCCAGCCTGGTCTGCATAGTTCTGTGGCAGCCAGAAACACATAGTGACACCTGTTTCAAACAAGCAAGCAAACAAAACAAAGCAAAAACACAAACAAGGGTCAGGAGAGATGGCTCAGTGGTTAAGAGCACTTGTTGCTTTGTGGAACACCCAGGTTCAGTTCAGAATCCACGTGGTGTGGTTCACAGCCATGTTTCATGGCCTCCAGAGGCACCAGGCAGCACTGCAGACATGTATACAGGCAAGACACACACAAAATAAAATGAATAAATCTAAGAAAATCTTTTTAAAACAATAAATTTCAATAAATAATTTTAATAAAAATAAATATAAATTTAATAAAAATAAATATATTTTTTAAAGTATCACTTGTAGCCTTAAGTATCCTAGAACTCAGGTGCATGCCTCTACCTCCTGAGTACTGGAATTAAGGATGTATACCACTAAGCTTTTTAGAAAGGGGAAATTTTTAAAGAAGCTAAAAGTGTCTGCAGTGATGCAGTCTTGTTTAATGTCTCTGAGAGGTGAGAAACACCTTCCTAACTACATATTGCTCAATTGTCCCAGAAAGACAGGAAGGTCAGCCCACCTCAGGGTGGCACCCCACATCTGACCATCCTTGTCTAGATTGGAGGCCAGGAGTCCTGTCCCTGCCCAGCCAAGAACAGTGGTTTCGAAGTCACTGCAAAGGGCCCCTGAAGGAGTGGGCTGAGCTGAGGCCTCCAGAGTACGTCAGAGGAAAAGCTGTGTGACCCCAGAGGGTCCCATTTCCCGGGGCCAGGCTTCAGCCTTCTGCCATGCTAAGTGCCAGTGCTCACTGGCCTGGGTTCTTTGTGACAGGTACCCAGCATTAAGGTAAAGTGCACAAGGCCAAAGTCAGCCTAGGTAGGCACCCAGCATCTGAGCAGGTACAGTGGGACTTCAGCCTCTTCATTCTCGGGCACGTCAGGTTCTGGTGCTTCTGTCCTTCTCTAACCTGTTAGATGGTCACCTTGTAACGGTGCTGGACATCGATGAGGCTTCTAAGGTGGAAACTCAATAACTAGAGCATTAGTTAGCAGCAGCCCCGGAGAGGCACCTACTGCACAGTAAGTTTTGTCATGTACAGGGGAGGCTTGGTGGGGCTGCCAGGAAAAGGTACCAGTAGTCTGTCTGCCTAGGGCTTCTGCTTATATCACATCTCTTCTCTGCAGCCCCTCAACCCCAGGGCACCATGGGAACTGAGGAAGTTCGATCCATTTGCTAGAGCCCCAGGCCTTCGGGCCTCCTCCACTAAACTGCCTTTGTTCTTCTCTTAGGACAGAGCCTCAGGGCTCCCACATTCTGGCCTGAGAGGAAGAAGAGGAAGAGAGTTCCATTTGCCAGAGGGCTGAAGGTGGCCCAAGGGCCAGGTTCTCACTCCCAGGATGCCCCTGCCTGAGCCCAGTGAGCAGGAGGGTGAGAGTGTGAAAGCTGGCCAAGAGCCGTCTGTTGGAGCCAGGAAGCCTCAAGAATCCTCCAGTCTGGTTCTGGCCAGGGGTAAAGGAGGACCCAAGCCGACAGGTGGCAAGTCCCTGGAGAAGTCTGGCCCTGCCGCTCTACCCAGCAACACCGTTCAGACCTCGACCTCGACGGCCAAGAAGCAGGGACGGATAATTCACCGGAAACGTAGTAGAGTAGATGCAGGTGAGACTTCCCTGGCAGTGCTAGTCCTGGCTCTTGCCGAGGCTGCTGTCCTGCACACCCCCCTTTCCATCAGGGTGACCTTGGATACTCCGCTCTTCCTTGCAGTTGAGCCTCCTGCTACAGCTATATGCAGGATTCTCTAAACTCCTTAAATCCCTTTCTCTAACACAAAAGCATCTTTCAGAACCTGGGCTTGTCTGGCAGCTAGGGGCCTGAGAAAACATCCTGCCCACAGGGCCCTACCCTATTCCAAGACCCACTCACTCCCCAAGGTCCCTGACCTTGAGTCTTGCTCCAGAGAAGCTAACCCAGCCTTTTCATGCCCCCAGCTGACCCACAGCCCCTGGAGTTCCTGAAGACCCCATATGGCGGTCGCCTTCTAGTGCACAAGTCATTCCTGTACAAGCAAGAGAAGGCTGTGGGAGACAAGGTGTACTGGAAATGCCGCCTGCACTCAGACCGAGGCTGCCGGGGACGGGCCATCACCCGTGGCTTTCGAGTCACAGTGATGCGGGACCACTGTCACCCACCTGATAAGGGGAGCCTGGGGGGCCGGCGCAGGAAGGAGAAGGTGCCCGCCTCAGACCTGCCTGAGGGCTCTAAAGGCCAAGAGGATGGTGTGAGCCTATGGCTATACCCTGTGGAGCCAGAGCCCACACCTCAGCAAAGCACTGAGACCCCGGAGGAGGACCAGGGGTACCGATCGCTGGCACTGCAGAGCCTACCTCCCAAGAAACGCCCCACACCAGGAGTGGGTAAGTGTATGCGCTCCCTCGCTTGCGGCAGGAAAGAGCCCTCAAATCCTTCATACCCAAATGAAAATGTGGGGTTCCACATGGGCTCTCAGAATGTGCTCAGAGTCAAGGATATAAATGCATTCCAGCCATCACTGAACCCATGGATCAGTCGGGACTGGGGTATGGGAGCCCAGGGCCTTTGAAATGTTTCCAATGGAGCAGGCCCAGCGTGAGGCCCTGAAAGCTGCAAACCAACGGGCAAGCTTTCGTGATTCTGGCATTAAGTTTGGGTAGGGTTCCCACGAGCAAGGTTAGGCTTTGAGCCCCGGGTTCGAAGTCTGGCCCCATGGATGAAGGCCTATAGCCTCAAGATTCCCGTGAATTCTGGTCTTAAGAGCTTGCGCCTGAGGCGGGTTGTGGCCCCTTGGACCGTTGTGGAGCTTGTGGGGCGACGATGATCAAGCCATGTTCTGCACTGCTTAGCTGGGTGAGAGGTGGCTGCATTCTTAGAGCAGTTAGGTGTGGCTTCTGGGCTGAGTGTCTCCTGGCACACGAGGATCTGAGCAGCTGCCCTGCTGGGAGGGGAGCTTCTTTCCAGTATGAATGTGTGAGGACGATTGCTGTTATTACTCAAAGAGAAGGGCTAGGGATGCCGTCGGTCAGAGAGCGCTTGCCTCCCATGGCAGAGGCCTTAGGCTTAGTTCTGTAAAAACCAAAAACCAGGCAAAATTTGTTAAACAAACCCTAGAAAAAAATGGCCAACAGTAGCCCAGGACATAACCAGCTGGATCAGAGCGCAGCTCAGCCCTTCCCACTGTGGCATGAACTGTGAGCTGCGTCTCATCGACTTGGAGACGGAACCCCTATTCCTCTTGGGTGGCTTGGTGGGAATGGACTGGGATTCACACGTGCCCAGCTCAGGGTAGTGTTTGGAAGAAAAGCACGTGGTGGTTCCTCCTGGGACCCCTGGGCCCCTGCCCTCGGTGTGGTGACGTCCCTGTGTCCTTCCTCCAGTACGGTATCAGCCCCTCGAGTTCCTGAAGACGTGCTATGGGGGCACCTTCCTGGTCCACCAGTCCTTCCTCTACAAGCGGGAGAAGACCGTGGGGAGCAAGGTGTACTGGACCTGTCGGGAGCATGCCGTCCATGGCTGCCGCAGCCGGGCCATCACACAGGGCCAGCGGGTGACAGTCATGCGCAGCCACTGCCACCCGCCTGACATGGAGGGCCTACAGGCCCGGCGACAGCAGGAGAAGACCATAAAGAAGATCCAGGCGAGGCGGATTGGCGCTGGGGACTTGGAGGACTGTGACGACATTGAGGACTCGCTGCTCCAGGGGGTGGACAGCCTGTTCTACCGCAGGGGACAGGGCACACTGACTCTCAGTAGGTCCAGGTCCAGAAAACAGGCAAAGGAGCACCAGGAATCCTTGCAGGAATCCCCTGAGGAGGACCAGGATGTGGACCCCAGTGAGTCTGAATGTTTGGGGACTGGTTGGCCAGAATTGGTTGCCTCGGTTTGGGCGGGGGTGGCCAGCCATGTCAACCTACCCCTGCTTTCTTACCCTACATCCTCTGCTCCCGCCCCTAACTGACTTTCCTGTGCCCTGCAGGAGGCCCGGAGTTCCTGAGAACCCCCCTGGGGGGCAGCTTCCTGGTGTACGAGTCCTTCCTCTACAGGCGGGAGAAAGCAGCTGGTGAGAAGGTGTACTGGACCTGCCGAGACCAGGCGCGCATGGGGTGCCGCAGCCGAGCCATCACTCAGGGCAGGCAGGTGACCGTGATGCGAGGTCACTGCCATCCACCTGACCTGTTAGGCCTGGAGACCCTGAGGCAGCGGGAGAAACGCCCCGGCCACACTCAGTGGGATGGCCCAGGTACCTGGGGGGACCCTACTGCCTTTTCTATTGTCTACACATGTCCTGTCCTCCGCCCTTCCGTAATTATTCTGGAAGTCGCAGCGTTCTCTTCCCACCCCTCCTCCCCCAGACCCAGGCCATCTGGGTTTTGTGCTCCCAGGTTCCTCCCAAGCTGCCTACTTCTTCCAGGCTGGAAACCTGATAAACCTAACCTCCCCTCCTCTGTTATTTTAGGAGTTATCAGTAGGGGCTGCTGAATGTCAGGTCAGGTCCTCATTCCTACAGTGTGACCAGAAGGCCACAGGTCAGCCTCAGAGTCTGGGAGCTGACAGAGTCAACCCTGTCTGCATCTGTGTCTGCTGAGCGCCTGCGAGCTGGAGTCCTAGGTCGGACCCTGCAGCTGTCCAGCAGAGCCTGGCGTGACTAAGGAGAGTGACTGTAGCCAGCCTTCTCACCAGGCTGCCAGTCCTGCCCTGTAGTGTTTGAGGTCCTGAGTTACTTTTGGTCCTAAACTTATTCCAAATATAGGACGTGTTTTATCATTCTTACTTCGTTTTGTTCCATTTGTATGACACTCATAAACAAGAGGATGATACTGGGACATGGCAGGTGCCCGGCCTTGCCCTCACTCCTAGCCCCATGCATCCCTACTCTAAGCATTTGCCTCCCTGTTTCTTAAAATGCACCTCTACCACCGTCAACCCATTTAATTCATTTTTCAATTTCCTTGTTACCTGCTGACTTCTAACCTGAGGAGGTGATTTAGCCTTGCTATACTTTTTTAGTGGGTAGGTCTCATATGTAGCCCTGGGTAGCCTAAACACACATGCATATGTGCATGCCCACTATGGCATATAGGTGTTGGTCCAAGGATAACATGGAGGAGTCAGTTTTTTTTTCCTTCTGTCATATAAGTCCTGAGGATTGGCAGCACGTACTCTTATTTTCTGAACTGTCTCACTAGCATTTGCCTTCTGTTCTTATCAAACTCTGCTGATGCCGAGCTGGGACACATCAGTGAACAACTCCAGAGCTTTCTGGGCCCTGCTTCAGCCTCACCTTGGTGCTGATGCCAGGCCTGGCCATTACCTGGATTTCCTCGGCCAGGTGCCCTGCCCCTGGGATTTTTTTTTTTTTCAGCCCCCTTGTCTTTTGTGGTTTGGGAGGTCCGTGAGCCAGTCAGCTTGTCATCTTGGAGAAGCCCTTTGCGACCCTGCTCATTTGCAGCTGTTGGCAGTTCCCCACAGGCTTGCTGGGCAGTGTGGCTCTGTGACAGCGCCAGGCTGTAAATGTCACTGCACAGCAGCAGAATCAGTTGGAAAAGAGGACAGTGTTTTTCTTATGGTTGAGCCCATATGTGTGATCTGATTCTGCATTAGGACTCCTGAGTCTTCTGTCTGTCCCTGATGGGCCTAACCTATGGCTTAGGGACCTTTTCAGACCATAGCTTGTGTCCTTCAGCACAGTGTCTTCTTTATTTGTTTTTGGTTTGTTTTGAAATAAGGTCTTTGTGTATCTGGGCTGTCCTGGAACTTACTGTGTAGACCAGGCTAGCCTTGAACTCAGACTGAGCTTCTTGCCCCTGCCTGAGTGCTGGGATTAAAGGTGTGAGCCTGCTCGCCTGGTGCAGCATGGTGTCTTCTTGCATGCCTACCTAATAGCCCTGTTTGGTGGCTTTCTATGGCTAGAGTTACACAGCCAGTTCCTCCTCCCGTGCTGACCCTGGTGGCGTTAGCAGTACAGTCCGAGATTTTCGGGTTTTGTTATCTGATCCCTCTACCAAAGTTCCTAAGTGCTTTCACTGAAACTTCTACCGAGTTTCTGCCCTCCCAGTGGAATGACTCCTGTATTGTGCTAGCCTCAGCAGTGTGGCGGCCTCTGCCTGTCTCCTGCTGAGGTGGTAGCTGGTTTCTCCAGGCAATCTGCACCTGCCTGCTCTGATGTCCACCCGCCTTCCAGCGTGCGCATTGGCCCTCTAGGCCTGCTTGTTTTAAAGGCAGCCCTGTCCCCTCTGCACACAGATCCTGACTCTTCTGCCTCTGCAGAGTGGGCAGGTGGAGTGGGCAGGTCTTAGGAATATTTCAACACAGACACCTGCCTCCTCCCTTCCAGTGTCTTGCTTTTCCCACTGGGCCACCCTCCCCTTGCTCCTCTGATGTTGACACGCCATGATGCCCTGGAGCCCTTCCCCAGTGCCTCTGTGTACGTGCTTGGTGTGGATCTGTTATGAGGCTGGACGGAGTTCTATTGTTTACCCCTGTACAAGTGTTTTTCCTGCACGTGTGTTATGTGCCTCAGGCCCGTGGAGGCCTGAAGGCGGCACTGGATCTCCAGGAACTGTAGTTACAGATGGCTGTAAGCCACCACGTGCCTGCTGGGAACTGGACCTGGGTCCCTCTGGAAGGGCACTCAATGCTCTTAGTGGCTGAGCCGTCTCTGCAGCCCCGTGGCTTAGTTTTATAATTTCTCTGTCTCCGCCCACTCTGTTGTTGTCTTTGGCTGACTGTTTCTCTGTCCTTGAACTGGGCCATTTTTATTTCCTGAAAACCATTTTTTTTATTTATTCATTTATTACTATACTCTTCCATATAGTACTCTTCCTGCATGTATGTCTAGCATGTATGTTTACACGCCAGAAGAGGGCATCAGATCCCAGTATAGATGGTTATGAGCCACCTTGTGGTTGCTAGGAATTGAACTCAGGACCTTGGAAGAGTAGACAGTGCTCTTAACCTCTGAGCCATCTCTCCAGCCCAATGAAAACCATTTTTTTAAATGTTCATTTGAATAGCTGTTTTGCCTATATGTATGTTTATGTACCATCCTTGTGCCTGTTGACTACAGAGTCTGTGCCAGGCACCTGTGGAGGCCAGAAGAGGGCATCAGATCCTTTAGAACTGGAGTTACAGGTGGTTGTGAGTGTGGGTGCTGGGCATTGAACCTGGGTCCGCCAGAAGAGCAGCCTGTGCTCTTAACTGCTTCCCTTCCTTCTCTCCAGCCCTTCCCTGACAAACGTTTCAATCCACTGTTGAAGGAGGTGGATTCCATTCCCCACAGCCACAAGCTCTACTCTCCTTAGTTTGCTGGCTCCTTCCCTCTGGGATGCTTTGCCCTGTAGGTGTTCCTTGCCTTCTGGCCTCCTTCCCCACCTTTCTAGGGGCTCCAGAGTCAGATGCCTTAGCCTAAGTCCTCAGCCTCTCAGGGCTTCTCCCTAGCTGCTTATCATGTGACAGCTCCCTGTCTGTCCCTGTCTTCCATGTTCCTACCAGTATGGCCCATTGAGGCCTGCTTAATGTGTTCAACTGCTGTCCTAATCCAGAGCTCCAAGGTCCTCATTCCACCAACAAGCAGCATGGTCAGGCCTGTCACAGCAATATCCCAGTTCATGGAACCAAATTCTGTCTTGGTCAGTGTTTTGTTGCTGTGAAGAGACACCGTGACTATGGCAACCCTTATAAAAGAAAGCATTTAATTGGGGCTGGTTTACAGTTTCAGAGGGTTAGTTCGTTATTGTCGTGGCTGGGAACGTGGCTACACATAGGCAGACGTGGTGCTGGAGGGGTTTCGAGCTCCACATGTAGATCTACAGGCAGGGAGAGAGAGACACTGGGCCTGGCTTGGGTTTCTGAAACTCCAGAGTCCACCCTAGTGACATTCTTCCCCCAACAAGGCCACACCTCCTCCAGCAAGTTGATGCCTCACAATCCTTTCAAACAGTGCTATTCCCTGGTGACCAAGCATTCAAATCTGTGAGCCTATGGGGGCCGTTTCTATTCAGACCCCCACAGCAGCCCTTGGGCCTGTTCAAAGTGAGGACAAGAGAGGGGAGGTAAGAGGCTGTCCTTCAGGTTCCTATTACCTCCACAGCTGAAGCCAAAGCCCAGCCTGAACACACTCACTGCCCTTGGGCTCCTGAACCAAACTTCCCTCTTTGGCTCTGGCAAGCTTTGACCCCACCTCACTCTTCACACTAGAGTGAGCTCCTGCCTGCTGGCCTGGAGGGCACCTAGTGTAAAACAGCAAAACCACCCACCTCCTTCCTGAAGTTTATGATGGAAGCCTTCACCTGCAGGGCCAGTCTCCAGCCTCAGGACAGGCAGACCCTGGCCCCTGGACTATCTCCCTGTGAGCAGGGAGAGGGCGTGAAGTGGGTGGCAGGATCCCTGCAAGGAGGCCATGAAAAGGGGAGCATTCCCCAATCCCTCCCAAGGCCAGGCTCAGCTTCCAGGCCTCTTCTCTGATTGCTTCTTTTGTTTCTTTGCAGAAGGCCCAGAGTTCCTGAAGACCCCCCTGGGGGGCAGCTTCCTGGTGTACGAGTCCTTCCTCTACAGGCGGGAGAAAGCGACTGGTGATAAGGTGTACTGGACCTGCCGCGACCAGGCGCGCATGGGCTGCCGAAGCCGAGCCATCACACAGGGTCAGCGCGTGATGGTCATGCGCAGGCATTGCCACCCACCCGACATGGGTGGCCTGGAAGCCCTGCGCCAACGGGAGAACTTCCCTAACCTGACCCACTGGGAGGGTCCAGGTATGTGGAGGGAGTGGCTTCTCCCCATTGCCCTGCAACACCTCAGCCCCTTTCCAGCAGCTGTGCTTAAGGTACCACCAGTTTTACTGTGTGGTTGATTGCTATTGCTGAGAGACACTAGCGCTAAAAGTAGGGTGGCATGGCTAGTGTCTGGCGGAAGTGCACGTATGCACGGCTGCACAGTGCGCCTGAGCCCCAGAGGCCCTCCATCCCATCTGGATCTCTCATCTGATTTCTGTCTCCTCCCTGGGCCTGTTCTGCCTTAGCTTCTGTTTTCACCAGTTCTCTCTGGCCACACCCCAACATCACATGGCCTTTGACTCCAGTTTCTTAAAACGTTTGAGAATGGCTTTGTGGCCAGCTGGTGGACAGGGACATGATGGGCCCCCAATACACAGACCAGATGAACCTCAGGCCTCCCAGCAAGCATGGGGTTTGTGGTCTGGTGAGGCCTCCAGCAGAGCTCCAGGGACAACCCAGGCAGCACTGGAGCCCCCACCAAGGAAAAACTGTACTAGAGAGTGTCAGGGCCGCGGCTGACCATTAGTCCCTAGAGCCCCAAGAAGCAGGCAAAGGGATGGGGACAGGGATTGTAGTGGGCAGAGAGAGGCCCATGCTCCTGTTGCTGAGGGCCGGGCTCCCGCGGTCCCCTCACAACGTGACTCTGCCTTCCAGAGCCCGTGCAGCCACTGGAGTTCCTGCGGACATCCCTTGGAGGCCGCTTCCTGGTGTACGAGTCCTTCCTGTACAGGAAGGAGAAGGCTGCTGGTGAGAAGGTGTACTGGATGTGCCGCGACCAGGCTCGGCTGGGCTGCCGCAGCCGCGCCATCACCCAGGGCCGGCGAGTCATGGTGATGCGAAGCCACTGCCATCCGCCTGACCTGGCTGGCCTGGAGGCCCTGCGGCAGCGGGAGAAAGGCCTCAGTGCAGCCAAGAAGAAGAAGAAGAAGGGTACGCACTGAGGGACCACGGCTCTGTGTGTAACGTCCGCATTTCCAGAACCTTTGCCTCGTTTCTGCTGGTCCCTTTCTGCTAACATGAAACCATATCTGCTTTTTCCTAGCGCTTAGACCAGCTTCCATTCCAAACCTGTCTTCCTCTTTTATTCCAAGACAGATTAATACTTTATAGGTTGTCTCTTGAAAAATCTGATAGAATAATGCAGGTTGTCCCAGAAGGGTGCAAACAGTGTTGTGTGTCCATATACATGTAACCACACACATGAAGTTTGCAAGTAGCTAATTTTAATTTATTGAAAATTAGTTCAAAGCTGGGCATGTTGTCTCATGCCTTTGAGCCCAGCATTCCTGGAGGCAGAGGCGGGAGGATCTCTCTGAGTTTGAGGCCAGCCTGGTCTACAGAGTACAGAACAGCCAAGGCTACACAGAGAAACCCTGTCTTGGAGAAAAAGAAAAAAAATAAAAGAAGAAAAAGGAAATTAGTTCACACCCAGAGGGGGTAGCTCACATCTTCTATCCAAAAACTCCAGCACAGGCAGGCAGATGTGTGGGTTCCAGAAAATCCTGGTCTACAAAGAGAGGACCAGGACAGCCAGGGCTACACAGAGAAACCCTGTCTTGAAAAGCAAAATGAAAGAAAGAAAGAAAGAAAGAAAGAAAGAAAGAAAGAAAGAAAGAACAAAAAGAACGAAAGAGTAGTTCACTTTATATAAACAAATATGTTATTTGAGATAGTGTTTACATACATAGCCCAAGCAGACGACAGTCTTTTTTCTTTCCTCTTTGGTTGTGTGTGTGTGTGTGTGTGTGTGTGTGTGTGTGTGTGTAAGATATATGTTTATTTTATGAGTATTTGCCTGCATGTGTGTGTGTGCAGCAAACATGTACCTGGTACCTATGGAGGCCAAAAGGGGGAGTTGGATCCCCTGGAATAGAAGGTTGTGAGCTGCCACCTGTGCTGAGTACTGAACCCAGGTCCTCTGCAAGAGCAGCAAGTGCTCTTGACCACGGAGCCATCTCTCCAGTGCCCTTAGGACATTGTTGAATTCTGATTCTCTTGCCTCCACAAGTGCTAGAATTACAGATGTGTGTACTGTTACTGCTATGGCCTGGGTTCAATTTCTGGTCAGGCAAGCATTTATTGGGTCTGGAGAGGTGACTCAAGGGTGAAGCTCACTTGCTGCTCTTGCAGAGGACCCAGACTCAGTTCCCAGCACCCACGTGATGGCTCACAACCATCTGCAACTCCAGCTCCAGGGGCTTTGACACCCTCTTCTGGGAGTAAACATATGTTATATAGAGAAAACAGCCATACATACAAGGTAAAATAAACATCCTAAAAAGTAAAGGGAGGTTGGGTGTGGTGGCACACACCTTTAATCCTAGCACTCAGGAGGCAGAGGCAGGGGGTCTCTGAGTTCGAGGCCAGCCTGGTCTGCCTAAGAGTCCAGGACAGCCAGGGTTGTTACACAGAGAAACCCTATCTCGAAAAAGCAAAAAGAAGAAAGGATAAGGGGGCTGGAGAGCTGACTCAGAGGTTAAGAACACTGTCTGTTCTTCCAAAGGTCCTGAGTTCAATTCCCAGCACCCACAGCACACAGCTGTCTATAACTCCAAGATCTGAGACCCTCACACAGACATACATGCAGGCAAAACACCCGTGCACATAAAATAAAAGTAAATTATTTTTTAAAAAGAAACTAAAGACAATAAAATGATGAATAAAATAATCATTGGCTATTACAGACAACATTTATTGGTATGTCAATGACTTTGATCATTTATTTAATGAATTTTGAGGGAGAGGAGCTGGAGATATGGCTCAGTGGTAGAACACCTGCCTAGGATTTGTGGGACCTGCATTTAATGCCAGAACCACAAAAACATTTCAAGAGTTATAAAAACTATAAAAAATGACTTACGAGATTAGAGCAGGAGTCATGTTGGGAGTGTCTTTTCTAACCCTTGAACCTTAAGATGACTATGGTGACATCTTTTCTCAGCTTCATGGTGAGTCAGAATTCCCCAGCCAAGCCACTCCTATCATTTTGTTTGGGGTGATTTGTGACTGTACATTGAATAAGTAAGATAGTTACCTCCAAGTGTGCTGGCTTTTCAAGACAGCCTCCAGACACAGTGAACTTCAGGCACCAATTTTATTTTATTTTTTATTTAAAGATAAATACAATGTATGCATGTACAGCTGAACATCAGAAGAGGGCACCAGATCACATTATAGATGGTTGTGAGCCACCATGTGGTTACTGGGAATTGAACTCAGGACCCCTGGAAGCGCAAGCAGTGCCTTTAACCTCTGAGCCATCTCTCCAGCCTCTGATTTTATCTTTGCTGAGGAAAAAAAAACTAGAGCATGCCTGCAGTCCTAGCACTCTTAAAGGCTGAGACAGGAAGAGCACCATAGTGTTCAAGGCCTGCCTGGGCTACATGGTCTGTTCCAAGTCCGCCTCAGCTATATAGTGAGACATGGTTAACAAACTAAAACTAAATATCAGATCCAGGCCATAAATAACCCTATTTAGTGTTTTGTTTGCTTTTTGAGACAGGGTCTCTGTAGATAGCCCTGGCTGTCCTAGAACTTACGATGTAGACCAGGCTGGCCATAAACTCAGAGATCCACCTGTCTTTCTACCTCCTAAGTATTGGGATTAAAGGTATGTACCACCATGCTTGGCTTAAGTAAGCCTTTGTAATGATACACATTTCTCTGTCCTCAGGAAAATCAAAGAGCTAAAACGAACCGCAGTCCTAACGAGGTGAGTCTTCTCTGAGGCAGCAGAGGAGCAGCTGACACCCCACATGCTTCCCGCCCATGCAGGCATTTCCCAGCCACTCAGATGCGCTTGACAACTCCTTTCACTCTTCCAAAGCATCGACGACTTCACACTTCCTCAGGAGGTCTCCCAGGAGGAGTGCTTGGACCTTGGGGTGGTATCTTCTGTTGGCAGAGTAGTGCCAAGACCTGTGCCATGCTGCTGTCACCTCTGTGACCTTAGACAGCTGTGGAGAAGTATGTCTGGACTGATATACCTCAACCCCACCCTGCTGTCCAGGCCCCAGCACCGTCTGCTCTCAGAGCATGCAGCCCTGCAAGGAGCTTTCCAGTGGAGTGTGGCCCTTGATGAGCTCCATGAAGTTCAGCAAAATGAGGTCGTCCTGAGCCAGGACATGTACGGGAACTTCTCGCCACCCTCTGAAGATGGTGCGAGTCACAGCCAGGGGTATTTTTGGTTTTTTGTTTTGGTTTCATCTTTAGGGATGTGCTGGGGCCTTCCTGGTCTTTGGTCACTTGCTGCTTGCTAGAACACAGCCAGCCCCAACGTGACAGAGCAGGCCAGAGCAAAGGCTGTACTGTACCTTCTGTCGGAGTTTGCATCTCACATCCTTTCCCAGCTTACATCAAACCTATGTCCACAGTTCTTGAAGCAGCTGACATTTCTAGCAGGGGGAGCCAGCCCAGATGTCCGGAGGTGACATCAGGTAGGGGTGCTCTGGTGGCAGCTGTACCACTGGGGATTACCCACTTGGTGTCACGTGATGCGCAGGAGAGTTGGGGGCATCAAAGCACACCTCCTGTAGAAGAGCCTAGCAGAACTAAGTGAGCTAGAAGTGGCACCCTGTCATCCCTGGGGTCTGCAAACTTCCTGCGTGCCACACCCTGTCCTAGAGCCGCATGCTCCTCTCCCCTAGCAAGCCATGGAGCAGCCACCCCTGTGGGATGGTGATGGCCTGGTGCCTGCCACTGGCTTCTGCTCATCTGCTTCCCTCAATAAACCCGATGTAGCCTCCTGGTGCCGAGCTTCTGTGTGATAACACCCCCTTTTCAACAATAGCCTTCACTGCCACAAGGCCACATACCGTCTCCACCAAGTGCTGGGGATGTAATAGGTTTGGTTGGCAATTTCTGGGCGGTGGTGTTTGGCCTAGACCAAGACTTGGAGGGACCTGCTAAGGATCTGTTCCCAGCCACAGGGAAGGCTCGAAGACTGGGCCACCCTCAGCCCAAGTGCTTCATGAGTTCATTTGAATGAGTTGTGGTAAGCCCAAAACGGAAGTGGCACCCCAAGCAGAGGCCACGGTTGCCTCTTGAGACCTGGATACCTCCTGGACAAGTAAGCCCCCCCCCCCCCCAATCTCAGCCCATTACCTGGCCCTGACGACCAGCCACCCTAGGTCTCTGCCTGACATTTGCCTCCAGTCAAAAAGATGGTGTGAGGTCTGGGAGATGCCTCAGTGAGTAAAGTACAGGCTGTACAACCATGAGAACCTGAGGCAGACTCCCAGGACCCTGTGAGAAGCTGGGCCTGGTGGCCAGTGTTGTAATCTCAGCACTGCATAGGTAGAGACAGGGCTTCAAGCAAAAACTCAACAGTGGGGTTTTGGTTTGTTTTTTAAAATTTATTTATATGTATACAGTGTTCTGCCTGCATGAATAGGCAGAAGACAGGAGAGGGCACAACCACAGGGTTATGAGTCATCATGTGGTCGCTGGGAATTGAACTCAGGACCTCTGGAAGAGCAGCCAGTTCTCTGAGCCTCTGAGCCATGTCTCCAGCCCGTGGTTTGGTTTTTTGAGACAGGGTTTCTCTGTGTTATTCCGTAAGCCCGGCTGGCCTCAGACTCAGACCCAACCTGCCTCAGCCTCTGGAGTGCTGGGATTAAAGCCATGTGCCACCTCTACCACCCTCTGCTCCCAGCTCACCTGGGCTCCGGCCACTCACCCTGTGACAGCAGCAGCTTCCATTCCCACGGCTGCCTCCAGGGACCTCAACAACCTGTCAGTGCCGACTCCACAGACCCTGCCTTGGAGCCCTGCCTGACTGTGTATCGGGTGTGACTACCTGACTTAAGTACCAGACACAGGAGATGTATTTAAGGACGTCTCCGGAACCCACTTAGGGTACCACCGGTTTTAGGCCTTTTGCCACTTGCCTCATCCTACAAAACTTTTCTCTGGAAGGACAAAAGATGTTCAAGTACTCAGAGGAGCCAATCTTCTGTTCTCATTCTGGAGGATTCTCGTAGGCCCAGGGTGACTACCTGACCACAGCAGGACCCTGCTGCAAGGGTGGGTATTAGAGGCTAGGCAGGCTCTCCTGCAGCCCTAGGCACTTGAGCCCTGCCCACAGTGGCCTCACTCCTCACTGCTCTCAAACCCATCAGCCTGTCCTGTCCAGCACTCATTATTGCTTCGGAACAAATGACTAGGATTAGCTGCCAAAAACTCCTGTTTATTATTTCATGATTTTGGTGAAGCAGGACCGTGGGGAGGCTGGACAGTGACCTTTGCCTGGAGTCACACACAGCTGCCTGTGTGTGTCAGTCAGCGTGGCAGCCACTGAGACTGCAGGCTCACCCTGTCCTGGGCAGCGATGGGCAGAATCAAGTCTAGACAGTTCACTGACCAAATCAGGCCGTCCGGGTTCTTCACCACTACCATTTTCCTTTTGTTTTTGTTGGTTTGAGAATCCAGGTGTCAGACTATGGGCCTATAGTCCCAGTACTTGGGGAGTCAAGGTAGGAGGACTTCAAATCAAATTTGAGGCCAGCTTGGGCTGCCTAACAAGTTCCAGGCCAGCCTGAGCTACATAGCAGACCCTACTGAGAGGTAAAGGCAGGGCCTTGCTTTGTCACCTGGGCTGGCCTCGACATCGTGGATTCAGATCATCCTGCTGCCTCAGCCTGCCACGTTAGCTTAGACCACAGGCATGGACCACTGTTCCTGGCCCCATCTCTTAGCTCAGAGACTATAATCTGCACCAGTCCCTCCACCATCACCACATAGCGTGACCTAATCAGAGAGCGCTGCTCTATGCAGTTACACTCACTCCCAAGGATTACTCCCCGAGCCTGTGCAGCTCCAGGGGTACCTTCCAACTGCACCTGCCAGAAACTCACCTGCCCTCACTGATTCATGACCCCCACCGCCCGGCTGACCCAGGGAAGCCCAGGAAAGAAATGATTTAAGTGGTGCTGGGGCTCTCGGGAGTGCAGGTTATAGTACTTCTGGGTCTCGGAAGGTGGGCACAGAGCGTCCTGACCCAGAAAGCCCCACAGGCTGCTCACCAGCCAGCGACTCCAGACACACTTCAGTAGGGCCTGACTTCTCTGCTCCTTGCTGTGGTCCCAGGAAGGAGGCAGCCTGGACAGTGACAGAGCTCGTAGGAGTGGGGGTCAGGTGTAGCTTCCCTCTGCCTGCTGCGCTGATCACTGGCCACTCCTGAGGGCCAAGGGCCTTTGGTTCTAGCCCATGGCTCTCCTTTGGATCATGGCGTCACCCCCATGGTAACAGGCTATTGCTAAGGATGGATTGACCAGAACCTCGGCTTCTTCAGGGTAGATTTGGAGAAAGAAAGCTTCCATGCCATAAGCCAGGGAAGAGAGACACTTCTGCCAGTGTCTCCCCCTCATGCCTGGCACCCGTGGGCAAGGACCACTCATCACCCCACACTGACTCCTGTTCTAGATACAATACTTCATCCCCACTAATGGTTTTTAGGTACTTGCAGGACGCTTGGTAGATACTACAGCTTCCTCTGAAGCTTGGGGGAGGCTTCTCTTCATACCCAAAGCTGAGGAGCAGTCCTGCCTGCAGCCGTTAGGGCCTTCAGAGGGACAGTGGAGAAAGCAGCTGAGGGCCGGGGGCCTCTGAAGAGAGGGTTCTCAGCTGTCCCTGATTCAGGCTGTGGATGAAGACAAGCGGCAGGCTCTTTCCAGTTGGAGGGCACTTCCAGCCCCCACTGCAAAGCCTCCATCTGGACTTCCAGGCCTGGGCACAGACAGAGTCATGAGGGAGGAACAGGTTCTGAGGTGATGGTTGTGGGCAGAGGAATGGAGTTGGGGGAAGGAAGGGAGAAGGAAGCTACCTCCTTGAGACAATGATAAACCAAAGCCAGGAGCGCGAGGAGGGCAAGGACTCCAGCAGCAACTGGGACCCCCAAGGGCATTTGTAGCCTCCAGCTGGTGCCATAAGTTTCCTGAGGAAAGAAGGGACAGAGTCAAGGGTCTTGGGGAAGCAGGAAGGGAGGCTGAGCAAGGTCCAGTTCTCACCGTTGTACTCCAAACCAGCGGATTCTGAAACCAAGTCATGGTTCCTCACCAGCCACTCTTGGGCTTCCAGGCGCTCAGATCTTCCCAGAGGTCTCCACACATCCCCAAACCCCCCTCAGTCACGACAGCACCACCAGGCCTTGCCTGATTGCCAAACAGGGCCTTTCTATTTAGCTTTCTCATCTTTCGAAAGTGAAACCCTTCCTTCCCAGGTCTGTGAGGGAGGGGCAATGAAGAACCAGCATGACCCATAGCCCCAGGTCAGTAGCCACCCTTCCTGCGGCCAACTCCAGAAGAATATCATGGGCGGAGCAGACAGACTGACTCCACCTCTCACAATCGCCAACCTAGCCCATAATGGCAAATTCCAATAAATCATGAGCCGTTCCTAGAAACAGAGCTCTCCAGCGCCCCCTGGAGGCTGGTGGCAGATGTGACTAGCCAAGGTTGCTACCCTCTGCCTCCCAGAGGGCCAACCTGCTGCAGGATGGCTGGGCACCATTCCCCAGCTGTGGCACCCCAATAGGGACACTGAGGCAGAGGAAGCACAAGAAATGTGTCGATCTCACAGTACATGAACACAGTCTCCGCCCTGCACAGGCTGTGAGCAGAGCACTGAGGACAAGCCAGCACCAGCTCACGTGATGAGTGTGCTCTGGAGCTTTGGGCCTCTAAAATGATCACACATCCTCCCAGTACGCTGAGGCACACGCTTTGCCCTGCTTGACCCTGGCCAAGTGGCACTGCACACAAAGGAGCTAGGCTCAAGAAATTGGTCTGTTTTGTTTTTTTAAGACTTTAAAAAAAAAAAGTTTATTTATTACATGTGCAGTGTTCTGCCTGCAGGCCAGAAGAGGGCGCCAGACCTCATTATAGATGGTTGTGAGCCACCGTGTGGTTGCTGGGAATTGAACTCCTGACTTCTGGAAGAACAGACAGTACTCTTCACCGCTGAGCCATCTCCCCAGCCCAGGCTCAAGCAGTTGTGACAGCCCTGGGGTCATGGTAGGCTTTTGAGATCCAAAGTGACAAACGGTACCCATGCAAGGTCTTGTTCATGACTGTGACCAAGTGAAGGAAGAGGGGGGTACAGCACCCATGAGAAAGACAAGAGCAGGCTCTGGGGTGGGGGAGGGGCAGGGGGACACCATGTGACAGCAGAGGTAGATTGGAGCGGGGCTTTCACGGGTAGCATCACTGCTGAGAGACCTGGATGTCGAACTGGGAACTTGGGGGTTCCTTTCGCTCTGAGTCCACACTGGGGTCCACCCTCACCCTGACAGACTCCCGGGAAGAAAGGAGATAGGCTCAAATGTACCCTGGGAGACTTCGTGGGATAGCGCCACTCAATGCCTCCACCCTTTCACCTCTCCCCTCTCGCAAACTGGATGGGGCAAGCCTGGTCTCACGCAGTTCAAAGATAACACACGCAAAGGCCACTCACCCTCCTGTGCAAGCTGTCAGCTCCTTCTCTACTGTCCCCACATGACAGGTCTGTGCATGCACATGAAAGCAACAGGCCGAGAAACTTCTGTGTCCAGCAGGGCTGGCGTCTTAGCGCTGGGACCCTACACTTAACTCCTTCAGTACTTCGCTCCCAGCTGCGAACAGGCACCACTGGGGAGGCTGCTGCAGGACGGCAGCTCTCACTGGAGATGTGGGGAAAGAGATGAGATGTCTGCTCCAGGAGAGAGAGCTGGTCGCTGGGCATGGTGGCCCACGCTTTTAATCCCAGCACGCAGGGCTCAGAGGCGGTTGGGGAATCTCTATGACTTCCAGCCCAGCCTGCTCTAGTGTGGCAAGCTGCAGTCCAGCCAGGGCTACAAGCGAGACCCTGTCTAAAAAAATATAAGAATATTTTTTTTCCCAAAGAGAGAGGTAGCCGGTATCCCTCGATAGCCACGTGGTCCCGTGAAGTCAGAGAAGTGCAGAGATGTGGGATAAGGACAATGTGCTAGCTTGAAACCAGGCTCCAACACCGAATAGCTAGCTAGCCTCTAGTTGCCAGGGGCCTCTGAGCCCCAGTGCGAGGATCTGCAGAATGGGGAGGTGCAAATGTTCCCCTAGGGCCTTGGGAATGCTGACAGGCTGCTGCCTGCACAGCGCCGAGTGTGGAATGCTGGGGAAGTGTGTGTTGAGGGGTGCAGGGCACGAGGCCTTTCTCACTTCTCAAAGGTCCCACAAGCCACGAGAGTCTGACAGGGACACTCTTCCTCTCCACCCAGTTCTGTCTCAGCGTCCTCAGCCTGGTCAATGGGCACCACCTCCCTCTCTTGCCCCTTTGCAGGAGACAGCGCTGGGCAGATCCACCCCAAGCTGGAGAGGGTTGTTTTCAGGCCCAAGGCTTCTCAGCCGACTCTGCCATGATTCCGGCCCTGCGCGCTGAGGTCCTGCTTCTGCCTTGACTTCTCCCTCCGCAGGACTGAGCCTCACATTTTCTGTGAGGGGTCGGGACTACGGAGCCCTCAGCTTCTTTTTGCCCTCAGTGGAAAGGGACAGAAACCCAGGACAGAGAGGTCCTCTTGGGGCTTACTCGATAGACGTCTGGAAGGCTCCAGTGGGGCCAGCTGGCCTCCCAGCTGAGCGCGCCGCCAGAGGAGGTGCCCCTCACTAAGCTACAACCTCAGCAGGTCCATCTCCTCGGAATACCGACCCCTACCACACTCCCTCCACCCCCTCGCGACTTGTCATGGCCCCAAGAACCTTGGCATGAGGCTCCAATTGCCCAGCTGCAGGAGCCCCACGGCTACTCATTGACCTCCACCATGCACACGCTGGCCTCTCGGGATCCTCCCCACGAATCTCGCCTCTCCATCTGCTTTCAGGACGTGTGTTAGGTGGCGGGAGCCCGGGCTGTGGCAGAGCTGGCTCAGCCTGTGCCCGAGGGATACAGGGGCTAGTGAAGGGTGGGCAGGCTGGTCTGGTGGGCAAGGGGTCCGGACAGGGTATGGCTGCAGAGAGTCCCCCCATCTCCCTCCCCGGGTCCCGGCCCCCGCCCTCCCACGCACCTGCGCTGGCCTCCCCCCAAGCCCCGCGGCGGCACTGAAAGATCAGAGGACTCGGAGGAGTTGGGCTCAGGGGGAGGGGGCGGGGAATTTCCCCCCACGCCTGCCTGGGCCTGCTCCCCTCCCCCTCCCCTGCCAGGTGGGGGGCACCGCTCGGGGAATTCCACCACAGGCGAGGCTCCGGAGAGCCCGGGCTGGGGTCCTAGGGAGTGGGAGCCATGGAAGCGGGAGAGGGGGCGGGCTGGGATGGGGGGCGCAGCTGCCTTCCTCCCCAGACGCCAGCTGCCCCTGCCTGTCGCGGACTCAGCGTCCACGATTCCTGCCTGTCTCCCGGGATCAGGGGCAGGGAGCGGCGCTTTCTTCTTCAAGCCAGCCGCGGCGGGACCCGGGGACAGAGGGGCGCGAGGACTCGGAGATGTGCGTGTGAGAGCGCCTTGCAATGAATGAGGGGACTGAACGCGAGTGAGCGTGTACGCTGGGGTCAGGGGGCCTGTGTCCGTCTGATCCTGCGCAGCGGCGGGAGGGCGTCCCGTGACTCGCCTTTAGGGTCCTCGAGAGGTCTGCTAACGCGGCCTGTACCCTTCCACGCCCTCCCCGTAGGACACGCACCGACCCCGGAAGAGAAAGAAGAAAGGGTGGGAAGGCATGTGGTGGGGTCCCGGGGGACAGGCGTGGGAGGCGTCTGGACCTGCTGCCTGCGCTCCAGTCGCGGGGCGGGCGGGGCTTCCACTCTTCCCTGGGGGTGTGGGACAAGAGAGGAGGAACCTGTAGGGACACAGGGGGCCAGAAGGCAGTGCTTTAGAGACCTGGGTGAGGGAGACTCAAGTGGAAGACGGGCTTCGATGGGGTGGATGTGGGGGCCCGGACACGACCCAGAGCTAGGAAGCTGAGCCCGAGACCGTCCTCCGGCCAGGTACTTTCCCTAGACACCCCTGAGGAGGGACAGCCGGGCAGCCGGGTGCGCCAGCCAAAGTAAGGTCAGGCCAGACGATCAGAGGACAACGCCTCCGCCCCACAGGACACCCTAGGGCGACCCCGTGGGCGTCCCAGGCCGAGGCAACGTCTCTGGTTGGGGAAGATGGGGACGCCGGCTCTGCAGGGACTCCTCCTCCTCCTCCCGTTGCTGCTGCGGCCGCGCGGGGCCTCCGCAGGGAGCCTACACAGCCCAGGTGAGTTGGGCACGGTGGCCAGGCCAAAGTCACTGCTCGCTCCCGGGCCTCTGCGCCCGGGGATGGGGAGGCCGGAGAGCGGGTGGGTGGATCAGCTGAGCAGCCCGAAGGTCCCCGAGGGGATGGGACCTGGGGAGTACTGGCCGGGACGAGGAGGCGGGAGCTGGGTGAGGAGTGGGGGGGGGGGCAGCGAGCGTCCAGACCTCTCCAGACCCCGCGGTTGCCGGGCAGGCCTGTCCGAGTGCTTCCAGGTGAACGGCGCTGATTACCGCGGCCGCCAGAACTACACGGGCCCGCGCGGGGCCGGACGCCCGTGTCTTTTCTGGGACCAGACCCAGCAGCACAGCTACAGCAGCGCCAGCGACCCCCAGGGCCGCTGGGGGCTGGGTACGCACAACTTCTGCAGGTGAGGAGTGGCGGCGTGGGAGGGGGAGGAGGGGAGGGCGGCCCAGCCAGGCTGGACCAGTGGTGGCAGGGGGCGGGGCGGAGGGGAGTCTGTCAGCCCCGCACGGTCCCCTCGGGAGGATTTGGAAGGCGGGGCCTATCTCAGGCTAGGTTCTCGCAAAAACTTTAGAGACGTGGAGGGCTTAGGTGACAGTTTCCTGCAGAGCCTCCATTCGGGGCCAGGCTTACCCCCTCCCCCCAAGGGGCCCTTGGATGCCTGATCTGGTGGGGCCCGCCCCCTGGAATGATTGGACTGTCTCTTGAGCTCCATCTACCATCAAAGCCACAGCCTTCTTTCGGAGCGTCGTCGGTCGGGGGCTGGGAAAGGGCCGTTTTCCCGCTCGGCCCCGCAGCTTAGGGTTTCCCACTTTCACGCCTTCGAAGTTTGATGAAGAGAGCCGTGGCAAAGGCCCGCTGAAGCCAGGGGTAGCGCCTCAGTGAGGCCAAGCCTGCACACAGCTCTTCAGGCTCGCGTGGCACCTGGCCCTCGGGAAGCCAGCGGGCAGGAGAGGACGGGGAAAGCTGGGATGCGTCCCGACCGAGGGGAGCCTGTGCCCACGCCGCACAGCCCACGGGCAGGATGGCGGGGGCCTCACCACCTCTCCCCCCCGCCACAGAAACCCAGACGGCGATGTGCAGCCTTGGTGCTATGTGGCAGAGACGGAAGAGGGCATCTACTGGCGCTACTGTGACATTCCCACGTGCCACAGTGAGTGAGCTAAGGGCCTAGTCAAGGGGTCTCCTTCCGGGCCGAGACCCTGACTCTGCCCCCCCCCCACAGTGCCAGGGTACCTGGGCTGCTTCGTGGACTCGGGGGCGCCCCCCGCTCTCAGCGGCCCCAGTGGCACCTCCACGAAGCTCACAGTGCAGGTGTGCCTGCGATTCTGCCGCATGAAGGGCTACCAGGTACTGTCCTCGGGCCCAGACCGGTGACCCATGACCTTGACCTCAGGACCCTACCCAGCTCCCAGCACTGATACCAAAACTTGACAGTAACTTCTGAGCCTCACCAATCCCTACTTCCCACCCCGCCACTCCACCCGTATCCATCCTCCCTGCCTTCGGGGTCACCCTGTCTGTGCTCCCAGCTGGCTGGCGTGGAGGCTGGTTACGCCTGCTTCTGTGGCTCTGAAAGTGACCTGGCCCGGGGACGTCCAGCCCCTGCCACCGACTGTGACCAGATCTGCTTTGGCCACCCAGGCCAGCTGTGCGGAGGCGATGGGCGACTGGGCATCTATGAAGGTGAGATGCAGACCAGGAAGAGAGGACCCTAGCGTGCCAGGCCCCGATAGGAGTGGGGTCTGGGAGGCCCGCTGTTGGAGCGGGGCAGGGTCCGTCCTGGGCGCGAGGCTGACCCGATGGGGAAGCCAGCTCTTGATCGGGAAGCGGTGCGAAGGCGGGCCTAGTTAAAGAGACGGGGCGGGGCCGGTCCGGGGCGGGAATGAGGCCTAGCTGGAAAGGGGAGTCTTTCCGCAGGCATCTCTGCGCTGGGAAGAAGGAGCCGGGTCAGCTTCCGTTTCTTGACCGCCTGCCCTGCCCGCAGTGTCCGTGGGCTCCTGCCAGGGAAACTGGACGGCGCCTCAGGGTGTCATCTACTCCCCGGATTTCCCGGATGAGTATGGGCCAGACCGGAACTGCAGCTGGGTACTGGGCCAGTTGGGCGCTGTGCTAGAGCTGACCTTCCGCCTCTTCGAGCTGGCGGATTCTCGGGACCGGCTGGAGCTCCGCGATGCCTCCTCCGGCCGCCTGCTCCGCGCCTTCGACGGCGCCCACCCGCCGCCGCCAGGGCCGCTGCGCCTGCGCACTGGCGCGCTGCTGCTCACCTTCCGCAGCGACGCACGAGGCCATGCTCAAGGCTTCGCGCTCACCTACCGAGGTGAGCCCCGGCCGGTCCCCCCCCCCCCCCGATCTGCACAACCCCCCTCCCGGCCACCGCTCCTCACACCTCCCTCCGCAGGCCTGCAGGACACGGTGCGGGACGGCGCGTCCCCCGAGGACCCGGCCGAGCCGCCCGCGGGGGACCCCGACGGGGCCAACGTGAGCTGCAGCCCCAAGCCCGGAGCTGCCCAGGCTTCGATAGGGGGTGAGGCTGGCCTGCGAGGTGGGAGCTAGACGGGGCGCGGCCCCTCGGAGGCCTGTCCTCATCGCGCCCCTGTGCCCGCAGCCCGAGTCCTCTCCACCGTGACGGCCGTCTCCGTGCTATCGCTGTTGCTTCTGTCGCTACTGCGTTTGCTGCGTCGACGGTGCGGGCGCTGGGGCAGGGCCTGAGGCCGGGCCTCGCACGGGGCGCCTGATGCCCCGTGCCTCGGGTCTGGGGGCTCTGGCGGGGAGCGGGGACCGGGGGACGCAGCTAGAGAGGTCCTGGGTTCTTGCGTGGGTGAGGCCTTGGGAGACTGGCACGCGGGCTGGCAGGCAGAGCAGGGTGGTAGAGGCGGGGCTGGGTGCGGGTCCAGCTGACCTTTGCTCCCTCTCTAGGAGCTGTCTGCTGGCTCCAGGAAAAGGGTCTCTGGCCTTGGGACCTTCCCGGGGCCCCGGGAGAAGCTGGGCTGTGTGGTACCGCCGGCCCCGAGGGGTGGCCCTGCCCTGTCCCCCAGGGGACTCTCAGGCTGAGGGTCCTGCCGCAGGCTACCGGCCCCTGAGTGCCTCCAGCCAGAGCTCCTTGCGCTCGCTCGTCTCTGCTCTCTGACCCCGGACGTGCGGGGGTCCATCACTACTTCCGCCAGCGAGATGGACACCTGAGATATTCTGCAGCGCCCTACCTCGACCCTGTGCCCCTTTAAGGGCAGACAGGTGTCTGCTCCTCTCGGGGAGACCAGAAAATCGGACAGAGAGCATCGGTGCTGCTTGGGAACTTGGCCTGACCCTGGGGGTCCAAATGGCCGAAGCCAAAGGGCAAACACCCTAACCCATGAACCTTAGTGAGGGGTGGTGTCTGGTTTTAGGGTTCTTTGCGCCTCTTTTGGGGTGGTCCTGGACTGCTGCCCTTGATGAAAGGTTGGGGGCCAACAAAGTGACCCAAAGACTCACCATAGACTTAAAATAAAGGGCCTATTTTGGTAGAGGCTTCAGCAAGTTCTTTGCGTGAGGGAGGGGATTAACCACCCTACGTTAATAGGGTGGAGGGCAGGTTTTGGGAGGGGATGTGGAAGCTGGTTATGGGTGGTTTCATGAGGAAGAAGAGTCCTCCTGGTCCCCAGGGCAGAAGGGAGCCGGCCTTCCCGGGCCTCCTACCTTCACCCGTTCCTCGCCCGTACTGGGCAGGGCCGAGGGTGTGCCTTGTGGGCGATAAAAGGGAGCGAGAACTGGGTGGAACCCAAGCTCCGAGAAGCCTGGCCGGAAGGGCTGTGCCTAGCCAAAGGTTCCAGGTGCGTCACACGTCTCGACGCCGAGATACCAGGTACCGGGACAATGGAGATACACCTAAGTGAGGACGCGCCGGCGCTGCGCGGGCCTCCTCTGGAGGGGGCCTCAGCCAGCAGCACCTTGGACAGAGTCTGACCGTGGGCTCAGGTCTGGGTAGCCAGGCTGTGTAGGTGAGGGGGTGCCCAGAGGTGCGGCAGCCTGGAGGCCACTGAGAGAGCCGGGGTGTGAAACGCTGGTAGACGCAGGGCGCCAGGCCACTCCGGTGGAGGACCCAGAACCTCGCGTCTCCGGCCGACAGACACTCCATGCAAAGAAGGCTGGGACCGTCTCTGTTAGAAAGAGAAGGCCTGGGCGGTCTCGGGGAGGAGCATCTTCGCCCGCAGCGCCCATTGGTCCGTGCAAAGTGAACGTCAGGAATCCAGCGCGCGAAACGCGGGCAGGGTGGCGGGGATGAGGAGCCGGGGTGGAGCCTGGCGTCCCCTCCGGCGTCCGGCCGCGCCCGTCCTCGGGGCTGCGGCCAGACGCCCGCCCGGCTGCCGCTGAGGCCAGCGGGAGCCTTCCCTGGCCGCCCCGCCGCGGTGGAAGCGGACGCACGGAGCCCGGGTAGCTGGGCGGCTCGCTTCCTCTCGGCTGCGGGGGCGTCCAGCCCGCGCGTGCGCAGCGCGAGGCGAGCGGCCCGGGACCCCTGCCGAGCCAGCGCAGGGCGGCCGGGCAGCCCGGAGGCGAGCCGGGATGAGGTTCCCAGCGCTGCAGCGCCGCTGAGGAGGAGGCGCGGGCCCCGAGGGTCTCCGGCCGGCCGCCGCGCGTGAGGCCATGGCGTTCCTGACCGGGCCGCGCCTTCTGGATTGGGCTAGCTCGCCGCCGCACCTGCAGTTCAATAAGTTCGTGCTGACCGGCTACCGGCCGGCCAGCAGCGGCTCGGGCTGCCTGCGCAGTCTCTTCTACCTGCACAACGAGCTGGGCAACATCTACACCCACGGTAGGTGAGCCGCGCCCCGCACCCACGGCCGCCTGGCCTGGGGGCACAGCAGCCCCCCAAGCCCGAAGCCCGGGCTGCCCCTGCCCCGCTTGGGCCAGGCACCGCGGTGACAAAGCTGCCATTGTCCCAAGCTTCCTTGCCAGCTTCTGCTTTCCCAGCAGTGCCCCAAGACAGGAGAGGGGAGCCGAGTGGCGGCCAGCTTAATCCCGCTGAGCTGGGGGTTAAGAATCTCGGTGGCCCCTTCGTAATCCTGCGCCCGGGGCGCCTGCCCCCTCCAGCTCCGGTACTGGAGATGGGCGTTCACTGGCGAGGAGGAGTCAGGGAGGAGAAGACCGCCCCTGGCCGGCCCAAGCCCCTCCTCACGGTGGCCTGGTCTCCCCGCTACCGAAGCAGTACCGTGGGGCTCCGCCCGGTGGCCCGTCCCCACCCCCCTTCTTGCATCCCCAAGAGCTCTGCTGACACAGCCCCGGCCTGTCCTTGAGCCGCCCCGGCTGGGAGAGGGGACTGAAGCCAGCTAGGTTTAGACTTGGGCTTTCTCTAAAGGAGAGGGAGAGCGCTATTGTTAGTCAGACCCCCACCAGGAGCCGGGCTGAAGCCTGCTTTGTCCTCCATTAAGGCAATGCCAACTGCCTGTGGGGAAGGGTGGGAATGTCCAAGAAAGGCCAGCACTGAAACAGCTCCTGAAAGCACCCCCAGTGGAGATAGGCTTCTTTCAGCTCCTTCCCTCGTTCTGGCCTTCTCTGTGGAAAACAAAACAAAGCAAAAACCCCAAAGTGTCCATCTGCCTAGACATTTGGCAGTGTTAAATAACCCTGAGGCTGGTATGTCCTTCCCGTCCTAATCAGAACTCAGGCTGAGGTCATGCTTCTCCAGGACAGGCAGGCAGACTTGGTCTGGCCTCCAATGTGGCAGAGAGGAGCTGTGCTTTAGCCAGGAGTTAGTCAGCTCTGCTCATTCTCTGTCCTTTGCCTGCTTGCTGGGCTCGGCTGGGACAGGTTACTCTAAGTCTGTTCCTGCACCTTCAAAATAGGGCTCAGTGTCTCTGCTTCCCACACCTGCAGTGAGCCCTGACAGTGACCCTTCTCAAAGTTGTAGCCCATAGGACCTGCCTCTGTGTGGGCTGGCAGCAGCACTGAGCTCTGCCTCGCTCTGTCTTTTTTGGGTTTTCGCTAGTCAGGTTATTTTGCTTTATTATTTTTTTACATTGATATGTTAACTTGGTGTGTGGGCGCACATCTGCCAAGGATGTGGAGGTTAGAAGACAACGTGAGAATTGATCTCTCCCACCACGAAGAGTCCAGGATCAAGCTGAGGTTTGCAGGCTTAGCAGCCTGCACTAAGCTATCTTCCTGGGTCCAACTGACCCCTTGTTTTGGATGTGACTCTTCCTTTCTGCTGAATGTGTTTGACGGGTAATTCTCCCCTCCTTCTAGGGCTAGCCCTGTTGGGCTTCCTGGTGCTGGTGCCAATGACCATGCCCTGGAGTCAGCTGGGCAAGGACGGCTGGCTGGGAGGCACGCATTGTGCGGCCTGCCTGGTCCCCCCTGCAGCCTCTGTGCTCTATCACCTCTTCATGTGCCACCGAGGAGGCCGTGCTGTGTACACCCGGCTCCTTGCTCTGGACATGTGTGGAGTCTGCCTTGTCAACACCCTTGGTGAGCCTGGGCCCCAGGAAGGTGGAGCCAGGGGCCGCTGGTGGGAGGCCTGGGTTGGAAGATCAGCCAGCTTGGACTTCATCTCTGCTCTCTCTCTCTCTCTGCAGGGGCCCTGCCCATCATCCACTGTACTCTGGCTTGCAGACCCTGGCTTCGTCCAGCTGCCCTGATGGGTTACACTGCACTTTCAGGTGTAGCCGGCTGGAGAGCCCTCACTGCCCCTTCCACCAGTGCCCGGCTTCGAGCCTTTGGTTGGCAAGCTGGGGCCCGCCTGCTGGTGTTTGGGGCCCGTGGAGTGGGGCTGGGCTCAGGGGCTCCGGGCTCCCTGCCCTGCTACCTGCGCATGGATGCCTTGGCACTGCTTGGAGGGCTGGTGAATGTGGCACGTCTGCCAGAGCGGTGGCGGCCTGGTCGCTTTGACTACTGGGGCAACTCGCACCAGATCATGCATCTGCTCAGCGTGGGTTCCATTCTCCAGCTTCACGCTGGTGTCGTACCCGACCTGCTCTGGGCTGCCCACCATGCCTGCCCCCCAGACTGAGCTGCCTCCTAGCTGCCAAGCCAGCCTGCCCACAGCTTCCTGAGACAAGTAACACCACCTTTCCTCCTTCTGCTGGTCTGCAAGGGGCTGGTTCCCTGGAAGAACCAGCACGCGGAACTTCCTAGCTGGGAGACCACTCTTCATTCTTCCCTGTGGATTAACATCTTCTTGACCCAGGCCTTCAAATTGGAGCTACCCACCTCCATGCCATCTTCCCTTCAGGGTACTGTTTCACTGTCAGCTAGAAGGAAAACATTCTTTCTTTGAGCCTCAGTTCATGTCTGACAGTTGAGCCCAGAACCAGTACCCCTATCTTGCTGCTCCCACAAGACACCTCCTGGATTCTTGAACTAGCCTCGCTGCCCCTGCTTCCTGACCTCCATCTTCCTGCCCTGCATGCCAGACCTCTCAGCAGCCAGAACTTAACCATTCCTGTCATTCCTGCAATCAGGATGCAGGGCAGTGGGACCAGGACCTTCTATCAGGACCATGTGGGCATTGGTCCTGTTGTATTATCTGGCTGAGAGACATGAGGGGGGCTGCTGCTTTTCCTAGGCAACAGGCACAGATGTGGAATGGAGGCTTTGGACTCAGGCTTCACTGGACCAAGGACTCACTCCTTCAGTGCCATGGTCTGACTGACTGACCTCCCCACCAGAGACATGTCTGCTCAGGAAAACTCTATACAATGGATGGCCCAGGGGCACTCTATAGCAGGGTGCCACCTCACAGCCAGCTTATCCCAGAGGCCTAGGACCCTGGGCAACATCAATAAAGGGACAAGAAGCGCTGTGTTGCCACATGAGCAACCTTGGGTGCTCCCAAGACTCATTACTTTTTATTAGACACAGAAGTTTCTAGGAAAGAGGTAGGCAAGAGGGTCAGAGGTTTAAAAGCACCAAGGCTGGGCCTATGGCTCAGGCTGGGTCTAGCGAGTCCTCAAACAAGCTGAGGAGGTTCCTTGGCTCAAAGGTGGGGCAGGGACCTCTGGGAGGCTCTGAATCCATGTCAGTTAGGTCCAGGGTATCCCTTGGGGGAGGGAAAAAAAAAAGAAATAAGACTTTGGATTCCAAAGCCAACCGTGTCCAGCCCTAGGCTCTGGGCTTGCTCACCTCACCTTGGTATGTACCTGCCCCGAGGGGTAGAGGTTCTCCTCGTGATCCGGGACAGGATGGTCTCTGGGGAGAGTGAGGGACTACAAGGAAGAGGACAGGACAAGCAGGATGCTGAGGGTTGGGGAAGGTGCAAGGCCATCATTGAAACAATAAAGATTGACAGCTGTCAAGTCCTCCCATTTGACCATGTTTAGGGGTTACCTCTGTCCCCTTTCAGGTTCATCTGAGCGCAATGTCAAGTTTTGGTAAATGAAGCTTTTCTGGCACTTTGCTATATTACAAAGAGCCTTCAGGGTAAGGGAAATGTACTCTAAACGGAGGAATCCTGAGAGTGTCTGGTTCTTCCTTGCAGCGGTTTCTTAATTACACACTCTTTCCCTTGGCTAGCAGACACTTGGGAGCAAGGGAATCCTCTCAAGACCGGCCTGCCAGGTGCTGGGAAGCATCCACCCAGGGAAAGACAGAACTTTACCCCTGAATAGGGGAGCCTCTAGAGAGGTGGGGGCTGCAATCCTCACTAATGAGTGCTATAAAGCTTGTACTGAACATCCCAGCTGCCTACACAGACCGAAAGCCACAACTACACTGCCAGTCTTCTGGGTGTGGCAGAGGCCCATCCTCTCCATGGGGCCTGGGAACTCTTCCACGTGGCATTGACGTGGCATAGTGAAGAACACCCCCACCCCCACCCCCAGCCCCTGTGTGCTGGGCTCTCACCCACCCTATGCTGTCATCCTCCCAGCTGCTGGAGAGACTGCTGTCCAGGAGGGGGCTGCAAGGTGGAGAGCCAGGTGGTGTGGCTGGTGGGCCTGGAGGCTGCAGCCAGCTGGCAGGATGAGCCAGGCCATGCCAGAGCCAGCACAGCAGAGTGATCAGGGCCTAAGGAAACTGAGCCTCAGAACCCAAGCCTTGTGACAAAAATCACAGCACTTGGGAGGCTGAGGTAGGAAGATGAGTTCAAGGATAACCTGATCTATATAGTAAGTATAGGAAATCTCAGGAGACCAGGTAGGCCCCTGAGCAAGGAACAGGGAGCAGAGCCCAGCCCCCTAAAGGCTTACCTGCCACAGGGCCCAGCCTCGACTCAGGGATTCTGCAGCCATATACCACAGAGTGTTCCAGGGACGTGGCTGCCTCAGCATGGGCAGGGCCAGCAAGGCCTTAGCTGTGGCTCTCAGCTGGGGGTCAGGCTCTAACATCATGGTGAGGACAGAACGCAGCTCAGAAGACAGACCTACCCACGAGGCAGGGCATGTCAGGTGCCAGGGTAAGTACTGACTGGGCCCTCAGCCCAGTGATACCCCTACTGCTGGCCACCCCTTGCCACAGAAGCTGATGGTAGCTGGTTCTTTTCCTGAGTCCCCACTCACCAGCAGTGAACTCAGGGGGCAAGTATCCCTGGCGCAGCTGCTGCCAGCCCTCCCCACCATGGGGCAGTTCCATGTTGCAGGCCACTTCCAAGACAGTAAGACCCAAACTAGGAAGGACAGGGCACGAAGACAAAAAGACAGTGTCAGCTTTGTGACGCAGATTGAGAGAGAAAGAGAGAGGCAAGGAGCTTTAAGGAGGCCCCTGGAGGGCAGTGCGCAGCAGTCAAGGAGGTCTTGTGAAGTATGGACCCACACTGGAGCAGTTAAGGTGCTGCGGGAGAGGTCCGCCAGAGCCCCGCTGACATGCAAATCAGTTTCCATGGTTATTAGGGTTGGCATCAGAGTACAGTGAGGCAGGAGTAGCCAGTGTGGACTCAGAACCCTGGGCCTGGGCAGAGTCCCAGATGTTAACCGTGGACTTGACACCTCACTACTCTGCCTGTGCTGGAGCACAGCCACAGAGCGGCAGGAGACGGCTAGCCTGCGATGGAAACGGGCCCCTGGCAGGCTGACTGCTTTCTCTGGAGACCTCTCAGCTAGTGGGCAGGGCAGCGTGGTGCCCCAGACCTGAATACCCTCCTCCTCCCCCAGTGCAGGAAAGAGCTCCTCTGTCAGGCGGCCCCTCCCTTTCCGCCAACCAGCCCCTAGTACAGGCCTCTTACAGTCCTTCAAGCCCTCGCCCCGTCCCAGCCTCACCTGAACACATCTGCCGCTGTCCCGTAGGAGCCCTGCAGCAGTTCTGGGGCCATGTAGCGAGGGTCTCCCTCCTGGGCCTCACCAGCGCCAGCTGAGCCCAGCTCCACCAGTAGTCCAAAGTCACCCAGCTTGCAGCGGCCCCGGGGCCCCAAGAAGATGTTGGCAGGCTTGACATCAAGGTGAACTAGGCCTTGACTATGTAGGTGGTCCAGAGCCAGAAGAGTGTCCCGCAAGTAGCCCCAGACCTGGGTTTCTGGCAGACTGGCCCCCCAGGCTTCACAGTGTTGCTGCAGGCTGGGCCCGCAGAGCTCCGTCTGCAGGTAGAGGATGCCGCCCTCCTCCCAGGCCCTCTCCAGTCTCACACAGTGTGGGTGCTGTCCCACCTTCTCGTGGCCGCCTACCTCAGCCAGCTTACGGGTCCGGTCTTTGGGGCCTCGGAACGGTGACATGGAGCGCTTAACAGCGTAGAGTCGGCCATCTTCTTTGGAGCGCACCTGGAAGGGAGGTGTTGCACAGAGGCGGGATGGCGGGACAATAAGAAAGTGCTGTTAGCATTTCACAGTGTAGGGGAATATATGTCAGTCTTACACCTCTGCACACAATAATAACCAAGTGGACACATGTCCACTGCACCATGGTACACCAGAGACCGAGCAGCAAAGAAGGAGCAGATCTATGCCCTCTGCTGGGGTCCAATGCTAAGAGAAAAATTTAGTCCCAAAATAGGGGCAGTGTGCTCCATTGTGTTCATGCGTTCCTCTGGAGAGGAACCGATCCAAGGGCCTGTGCTGCTTGCATTTTAAATAAAATTGTCTGAAAATAATGCTTGTGGAAAGTAAAGTTGTTATTTTAGAAAATATATAAACAACTAAAAAATTAATACCATATAAAAGAAAACAAATGATAGGCATGGGAAAGGCACAGCTTTGAGCCTGCCAGCCGGGAAGAGGGTGGACATTGGGGTCAGCCCCAGGCCAGACAGCACCAGTCATGAACCCCAGCACAGCTATCTCCAGGCAGAGGCGGCTGCAGAGAGTGCTGCAGGCTATGCAGGGATCTGGACAAGGGGCCAGTGTGCATGAGGCAGCTCTCGGAGTGCTCGATCTTGGGATGGAGAGGTGGCTGTAAGCCCTAGAGAGGCAGGCTGTCAGAGAATAAAGGGCAGAAGCATGCTAGGACACTACCCCACTGAGGGAGGGTAGCCCAAGGCAAAGAGGGTCCCCTGAGAAGCCTTGGAAACCACTCTTCATTTACCTTGAAGACCTCTCCATAGGAGCCATGACCCAAGCGGCTGAGCCTCTGGAAGTTCTGCTGAAAGAAGGACTCTGGCCGGCTCGGGTCATACCCAGGACTCTGAAGGGTCTCTGAGGTCTCACCCAGGAATGACACCCTCCGGGGCCGGGGTTGGTGCCAGCCTGGGGTCCGAGGAGGGAAGAGACGGCTGATAGGGATGTTGCCCTTGGCAGGGGGCCGAGGTGGAAGGCTCCGGCTGAGGCCCCCAGGTCTCTTGAGGGAGAAACCAGGCTCTGCATGTCGGAAGTAAGCTGGAACTGGGATGGGGGTACCACTTAGGGGTGGCGGGGTGCCCTCAGTGGGCATGGACATGGCCAACACTAGAGGCTCAGAGCACAGAGCAATGTTCCCCTCAAACAGAGCTTGATTCGGTGGCCCACAAGAGAGCCACTTCTCTGCCACACACACCTTCTACTGTCCACATGAAGGTTGTGTGGGCCACAAGTACCTGTGGAGAAGAAAGAGAGCAGGCCATCACACACATGCACTGTGACATCTCAAGCCTGGAAACGACATAACTGTGAAGTCAGGGCCGTAAACCTCAATCCCCGAGGGCCTCACATCCATCAGGAAAAGAGGGGCCCTCCCAGCCTTCCTCTCTGCTGCCTCTCCCATGGTCCCACATCACCAGAACCACAGGAAAAACAACTTCCAAGTCCCAAAACCTTTCTTCCACCTTCAGAGTTATTGTAATAGAATCAATTCTCTTCTAGAATACCCATATAGAATATGAGGAGATATGGGAATTTCTCCCCAGAAAGAGCCAGAATAGAGGAAAACTATTCACAACCATCTTAACTCTCTGGATGTGGCACTAAAGATAGAGAAGATGAAACATTTACAGAAGAAAATCTAGCAAATCTTGGTAAGAACATGAAGCAACAGTAGAACCTGAAAGTTACCAGCACTGTGGGCAGAAGCTCAGTGAGGTGAGGCTCTGCTGCCTCAGCTTCCTGTCAAAGATAAAGCATCCACCTAGGAAGAGCAGGCTCTCAGCATTATCCAGCCTCCCACCAACTCCACAGGGCAGAGGCTAGATTTCTGTTGAGTAGTAGACTAGCCAGCAGCTTTCTCTCCTGTCCCACTGATAAACAAGACAGAGATTCTACATCAGGCCCAGCAGATTGGGAAGCCCAGGGTCCAGGCCCCCCCTCATTCATAGGAAGGGGCTCCACCTCGGAAGAGGCGAGCAGGGAATGTCAGAGGCCTCTGTCCTGTCCTGCCACTTCGCTCCTTAGGCAGCGGGGCCAGCCAGGGGAAAGTGCACCAGTGTCCACTCACAGCTTAGATATATTGCCCAGGGACAGAGGCGGGCTGTAAACAGAGCCCTGAGGC